CGCGCGCGCGCCCGTGTGTGTGTGTGTGTGTGTGTGTGCGCGCGCACGCGCGTGTGTGTGGGGGGGGCTTGTTTATGGCTTAATCTTAAGTTACGTCGAATGAGGAGGAGAATCCATTCATCATTCCATGTACAAGAAAATCGTTTATCCAGGGAATGTCTAATTTTCAGCAGACATTCAGTTTTCTATCAATAGATATGCAGATAAATATATAGGTATATATCAGTAAGGTTTCATCCAATATCGTATTAGTCGAAATATTGTTACAAGTAATAAAAACGAGCACACGAACCTAAATAATATTACGGCTTCATTTCAAAACTCCTGAATATATTGAGAAACAGGAAGTAGGTTTTTTTCTTTCTTTCTTTCTTGCTTGCTTTCTTGCTTTTTTCTTTCTTTCTTTCTTTCTTTCTTTCTATCATTTTTTCTTTATTTATTTCTTGCTTTTTTTCCTTTCTTTCTTGAACCTAAATAATATTAGGGCTTCATTTCAAAACTCCTGAATATATTGAGAAACAGGAAGTAGGTTTTTTTCTTTCTTTCTTTCTTGCTTGCTTGCTTGCTTTCTTGCTTTTTTCTTTCTTTCTTTCTTTCTATCATTTTTTCTTTATTTATTTTGTTTTTTTTCCTTTTTCTTGAACCTAAATAATATTTTTTCAAAACTTTGAATATATTGAGAAACAGGAAGTAGGTTTTTTCTTTCTTCCTATCATTTTTTCTTTTATTTATTTCTTTCTTTTTCTTTTTTTTTTTTTCTTTTTTTTGAACCTAAATAATATTAGGGCTTCATTTCAAAACTCCTGAATATATTGAGAAACAGGAAGTAGGTTTTTTTTTCCTTTTTCCTTTCTTTTTCTTTCTTTCTTTCTTTCTTTTTTTTTTTTCTTTATTTTTCTTGCTTTTTCCTTTCTTTCTTGAACCTAAATAATATTAGGGCTTCATTTCAAAACTCCTGAATATATTGAGAACAGAAGTTTTTTTTTTTTTTTTCTTTTCTTTCTTTCTTTTCTTTTTTCTTTCTTTCTTTTCGTTTTTTTCTTTCTTTTTCTAAATAATTTACGGCTTTTTTTCAAAACTCCTTATATTGAGAAACAGAAGTAGGTTTTTTCCTTTCTTTCTTTTTGAACCTTCTTAATATTTCTTTCTTGCTTTTTTCCAAAACTTCCTGAATATATTGAGAAACGGGTTTAGTTTTCCTTTATTGAGAAACATTAGTTTTTTTTTTCTATCTTTCATTTTTTCTTTCTTTTCTTTTTTCTTTCTTTTCTTGTTTTTTTTTTGCTTGGTTTCTTTCTTAGTTCAGTTGACTTTTCATATTCCCTCTTTTATTCAATATTATGTCTGCTCTTTCTTTCCTTCTCCGTTTTTCAATTACCTTTTTGCTTTATTTTTCTTTATCTTTTTTTCCTGAATTTCTTTCGTTGTCTTTCAGTTTTCTTTCTTTATTGTTTCATTATTATTTCCTTCTATTTTGCTTCTCGTTCTTGTCCTCATTCATTGCTCCTTTCTTTCTCGTTCTTTCTTTATTTATTTCTTCATTCTCTTTCCTTCTTCCTTTCATTTGTTTGTCCCTTCTTTTCACCTTTTTTATTTCTTTCTCTTTTTTTATTGGTGTTTCTTTCCATAGAACTTTCATTCTTCGTTTTTCCTTCAATTCTCTTTCTTTCTGTCATTTCTTTGTTTCTTTTACCTCCTTCCAATATTCTTCTTTCTCTTCTCATTAAGTATTTCTTTCTTTCTTTCTTTTCTATTTTCTCTTTCTCTGTTCCCTACTCTTTTTCTCTTTCACTGTTATTTTTTTTCTTTTTTACCCTTTCTATATATTCTTTTTTCTCTTTATCTTCCCTCATTTTTCCGTTTCACTTTCTTTCTTTCTTTCTTTCTTTCTTTTCTATTTTCTCTTTCTCTGTTCCCTATTCCCTTTCTCTTTCACTGTTATTTTTTCTTTTTTACCCTTTCTATATATTCTTTTTTCTCTTTATCTTTCCTCATTTTTCCGTTTCACTTTCTTTCTTTCTTTCTTTCTTTCTTTCTTTCTCTCTTTCTTTCTTTCTTTCTTTCTTTTCTATTTTCTCTTTCTCTGTTCCCTATTCCCTTTCTCTTTCACTGTTATTTTTTTCTTTTTTACCCTTTCTATTTATTCTTTTTTCTCTTTATCTTTCCTCATTTTTCCATATCACTTTCTTTCCTTTTTCTTTCTTTCTTTCTTTCTTTCTTTTCTTTCTTTCTTTTCTATTTTCTCTTCTCTGTTCCCTTATTCTTTTTCTTTCACTGTTATTTTTTTTTTTTTTTTACCCTTTCTATTTATTCTTTTTTTCTCATTATCTTTCCTCATTTTTCCATTTCACTTTCTTCCTTTTTTTTTCTTTCTTTTCTTTCTTTCTTTCTTTTCTTTTCTTTTTCTTTTCTCTGTTCCTATTCCCTTTTCTTTCACTGTTATTTTTTTTTTTTTTTTACCCTTTCTATATATTTTTTTTCTTTATCTTTCCTCATTTTTCCGTTTCACTTTCTTTTCTTTTTTCTTTCTTTCTTTCTTTCTTTCTTTCTTTCTTTTCTTTCTTTTCATTTTCTCTTTCTCTGTTCCTATTCCTTCTCTTTCACTGTTATTTTTTTTTTTTTACCCTTTCTATTTATTCTTTTTTTTCTTTATCTTTCCTCATTTTTCCATATCACTTTCTTTTCCTTTTTTCTTTCTTTTCTTTTTCTTTCTTTCTTTCTTTCTTTTTTTTTTTTCTTTCTTTTTTTCTTTTCTATTTTCTTTCTCTGTTCCCAATTCTTTTTTCTCTTTCACTGTTATTTTTTTTCTTTTTACCCCTTTCTATATATTCTTTTTTCTTTTATCCTTCCTCATTTTTTTATTTCTTTTTTTTCTTTTTTTTCTTTCTTTCTTTCTTTCTTTCTTTCTTTCTTTTCTTTTCTATTTTCTTTCTCTGTTCCCAATTCTTTTTCTTTTTCACTGTTATTTTTTTTCTTTTTTACCCTTTCTATATATTCTTTTTTCTCTTTATCTTTCCTCATTTTTCCATTTCACTTTCTTTCCTTTTTCTTTCTTTCTTTCTTTCTTTCTTTCTTTCTTTCTTTTCTATTTTCTCTTTCTCTGTTCCCTATTCTTTTTCTCTTTCACTGTTATTTTTTTTTTTTACACTTTCTATATATTCTTTTTTCTCTTTATCTTTCCTCATTTTTCCATTTCACTTTCTTTCCTTTTTCTTTCTTTCTTTCTTTCTTTCTTTCTTTTCTATTTTCTCTTTCTCTGTTCCCTATTCTTTTTCTCTTTCACTGTTATTTTTTTATTTTTTACCCATTCTATATATTCTTTTTTCTCTTTATCTTTCCTCATTTTTCCATTTCACTTTCTTTCCTTTTTCTTTCTTTCTTTCTTTCTTTCTTTCTTTCTTTCTTTCTTTTCTATTTTCTCTTTCTCTGTTCCCTATTCTTTTTCTCTTTCACTGTTATTTTTTTTCTTTTTTACCCTTTCTATATATTCTTTTTTCTCTTTATCTTTCCTCATTTTTTCCTTTCATTTTCTTTCCTTTTTCTTTCTTTCTTTCTCTCTTTCTTTCTTTCTTTCTTTTTTTCTATTTTTCTTTTCTGTTCCCTATTTTTTCTCTTTCACTGTGTTATTTTTTTTTTTACACTTTCTATATATTCTTTTTTTCTTTATCTTTCCTCATTTTTCCATTTCACTTTTCTTTCCTTTTTTTTCTTTCTTTCTTTCTTTCTTTCTTTTCTTTCTTTCTTTCTTTTCTATTTTCTCTTTTCTGTTCCCTATTCTTTTCTCTTTCACTGTTATTTTTTTTTTTTACCCTTTCTATATATTCTTTTTTTCTTTTATCTTTCCTCATTTTCCATTTTCACTTTTCTTTTTTTTTTCTTTTCTTTTCTTTCTTTTCTTTCTTTCTTTTTCTATTTTCTCTTTCTCTGTTCCCTATTCTTTTTCTCTTTCACTGTTATTTTTTTTCTTTTTTACCCTTTCTATATATTCTTTTTTCTCTTTTTCTTTCCTCATTTTTTCCTTTCATTTTCTTTCCTCTTTCTTTCTTTCTTTCTTTCTTTCTTTCCTTCCTTCTTTTCTATTTTCTTTTTCTCTGCTCCCAATTCTTTTTCTATTTCACTGTTATTTTTTCTTTTCTACCCTTTCTATATATTCTTTTTTCTCTTTTTCTTTCCTCATTTTTCCGTTTCATTTTCTTTCTTCTTTCTTTCTTTCTTTCTTTCTTTCTTTCTTTCTTTCTTTCTTTCTTTCTTTCTTTCTTTCTGTCTTTCGCTGTTTCTGTTCCCCTTTTCCTTTTCTCTTTCACTGTTATTTTTTCTTTATTACCCTATCTATATATGCTTTTTTCTTTTTTCCTTTTCTCATTTTTCCCTTTGACTTTCTCCCCTCCTGTCTTCTTTCTTTATTTATTTTCTTTTCCTTCTTTACTCGGACTTTCCCTTTTCTGTTCCCCATTCTTTTTCTCTTTCACTGTTATTTTTCTTCTTCTTTTTACCATCTCTTCCTTTTTCTCTTTTCTTTCTCCTTTTTTCCTTTCTTTCTTTCTTTCTTTCTTTCTTTCTTTCTTTCTTTCTTTCTTTCATTCTTTTATTCCTCAGATTGTTTTGCTTTCATTATCTCTTTTTAATTTCTACGTCCCTTCTTTTTTTTTATCTTTTTCAAGTTCATTTTTTTCTTCGTCTTTTTATTTGTATTCCCTGTTTTTCGTTCTTATTCTGTCAGTTATTCCTCCTAACCACATATCGCTTTTCTTTCGTCCATATCTGACTTAAGCCCTTCATCTCCTTTTATGTTCGAGAGTTCAGATTACCTTTCCTTTGGCCATTTTTCTCGCATACCTGCCCACCACAAGGCTTTTGTTAAATTACAAGAATCCAAATAAGACAACTAAATTACCGAGGCCAGAGTAAACCAAAGGAGAAATTTCTTCGATTTACGATTGAAAATCTGGAGCATCCAGCCAAGAAAACAACATCACTATTTATGCCGCACGGGATGACAGCTAAATTGGACGATCCGAATAAAGAGAGATATGGGTGGACTTTGACCAAGTTTTCATGGTCCTCTGCACGGAATTACCAGCGATGGAAACCTTGTTCGAAGCTGTTGTATAATTTACACGGCTAGAAAGAATAAAAGTTACGGCCAAGATTAGCAATTTTGTTTGTGACCGTTTTATGAGAAGAAATCATAAAACTGTCACAAGTGGTTGCCGGTGCCAACGAATGAAAAATGGATGGCACTTATAGAAAAATTTATATATTCGCGCGCAAAACACACACACACACACAGATATATATATATATATATATATATATATATATATATATATATATATATATATATATATATATATATATAAAAGAAATATGTTGTAGTGGTTCCAATGAGAGAAAAGTATGTATATTAAAAAGAAGAGGGTGCTGCAAACGTTTTTGGTTGTAATGTGGATTTATTGAGAAAAATATTATACTTTGTTTTACATAATTTCACGACACGTGTTTGGTCTGGTCTCGCAAAACTGTCTTCAGGTGAAAGTGGAGATTTTTACATATTATTAAAATAATTAATTTTTCTTCATGTTCAATGTGGAATATTCTCGATATGAGACATTCTGTTTGTGTGTTGGCAATCCGAATTTTCTTTCTAGAATTTCTTTCTTTTTTATATATATATATATATATATATATATATATATATATATATATATTATAGGCCAATAGGCCAAAGATTTGGGGTAACATTTGAGATTTAAAGAGTCTCTTAAAAATTTATGAGTCGACTTCAAGCCAGAAGGACTTACTCTTCCTTATGTGCTTTATAATATATTCAATAATAATAGTAATAATAATAAAAACTATCAAAATAAATGACCATCAAATCGAAGTCAGAATCTCAAATGGCACATGAGGACATCAACAATTCCAGTTGTAGTTGGAGCCCTCGGGTTGATTGAAAAAGGTTCCGATAGACTCACAGAAAAGATCCGAAGTAGTACATGTCTTAAAGAAATACGAAAAATTGTACTCAAAAGTACAACTTACAACTTCCGAGGAGCTTTATCTATGTAAAATGAGTGTGATCTAATTTTTGGGGTGTTTTTTTTTTTCTCAAAAAATGCTAAGTGGAAAATGTCATGAAGCTATTTCTGACCTTAGGTCTCTGGTTGGGACCCGGAAAGAAATCAGTATACAGCAGAAATCAAAGGAAATAAAATAATAATAAGATTAACACGTTAAAAGTTTACTTAATGTTTGCTCTTTTTGGCTAATCTACCTTGTTTATCTTACGCATGGGCGAGTAACATTTAACGGGTTAAATAGCTTGAGTTAATTAAACCAAAGAAAATATGAAACTTACTAATTGTTTTTGGCATATATATATATATATATATATATATATATATATATATATATATATATATATATAAACAAACAAACCGACCCCGATAAACTAACCGTTAAAAAAAACAAATTAAGATAATCAATCCAAATAAATACATGAAGTAATAAGAAATTTAAAACTGTTCCCCAAAAAATAATAGAATAAACTACAACAATCAACCACAAAATATAATAAATAGCTTTAATTATCTTCCGAAACCAAAACAAAACTATTAAATAAGCGATATAAACAAACTTTTACTACGTTAATAAAAACACCGGTAAAAAAAAAAAAAAAAAATAAATAAATATAAAGAGAAGAAATGAAAATAAAAAATAAAAATAAATAAAAACAAGCAAAATAATCTCACCCAAATAAATAAATAAACAAATAAATGACTTCCAGTAAAAAAAAAACAAACGCCAAAATAGACTACCCACAATGCACCACTGACCCGTATATATAAATAGCCGAGAAAAATAACAGCACTCGTAGCCTGACGATTGTATCTAGCATGAAACAGACTGTCGCTTGTAAGTGTTGACTTCTATGTTCACTTTTATATATATATATATATATATATATATATATGTGTGTGTGTGTGTGTGTGTGTGATTAATATATGGTTTTTAGGTGTGCTATATTTATGGGAAAAGTGCTCAATATCAAAGATAGAGCATATAAAATAAATATGAAAGTGGACAGTGAGGTTAAAATCAAGTGGTGACAGTTTGTTTTATGCTCGGACGCAGTCTTCAGTTCATGTGGGTTGAGTGATAGATCGACTATTTATATATGCTGGTCAGTATGGAATTAGGGGGTGCAGAGTTATTGGATAGTTCTAAAGTCTATTAAGAAGAAAAACAGTCTGCAAGAATGCTGTTATTTTATAGTTAGTTTATCTTTCGTCTGTTTTTTTTTTTTTTTTTCGTTTTTTTTTTTTGCTTTTTAAACAGTAACAGACGTAGATTACTTTGCCTTGTTGTCAGACACGATTATAAAGCTACCAAACCTCTTCATCTCATCGAAGAAGCGGCAATTAATGCTGGCAAAACAGAATTTATCAGCTACAGCCAAGAAGGAGAAATTAAGCTGAAAAACGCCTTCAATATCAAATCCGTCCAGGAATTTGTTTATCTCGGCAGCAACATCAGGTCAACGGAGAGAAACATCAAAATTCGCAAAGGCAACGCCTGGGGTGTCCTTGATGGTCTGAGAACCATCTGGAAGTCTTTCCTTTCTGACAATCTTAAGAGAGACTTCTTTAAGTCCAGGGTAGAATCTGTCTTGCTCTACGGCTCAGCAACATAGGCACTGACGAAACACCAAGAAGCATCACTTGGCGGAACATACACAAGGATGTTACGAATTGCATTGGATATCAGCTGGAAGAAACACTCAACAAAGAAACGCCTGCATGGACACCTTCCTCCTAACTATTACGCTAAGAGAGAAGGCTTCGCCGAGCTGATCCCTCCTGGAGAAATAAGTCAGAAATTGTGAGTGACACCCTCTTATGGAGCCCATTGCGTGGCTAAAGATCGGTTGGAAGATCTCATCACACCTACACTGACTAACTTGTAGATGACTCTGGATGCCATCTAGAGGACCTGCCGACGGCGATAACTGACAGCGATGGTTGGAATGAACTAGACAGGAAAATCCGAGAAGAATTCACGACTCGGTGATGATGATGATGAATGATTTCATAAATTTCAACCGTCAGTCATACTGGCAACTCGGCCAATGAATGCTGAATGTTTCCTCATAAGGAAATTCAAATATTACAATTACCATGACCCTGTTTACAAACAGACGGTACAACACAAGGGACACGTATTGGGAGGATCAAAGTCAATCAGGCAGATAAGTTTAACTATCTGGTTAGTGTTGTACCAGGTGACAGGAAATGACACATTATTCTAAAACCGCATAATATGGGAAGGTGCCTTGCAGAAATTAAGCAAAATATTGACATAGAAAAAAATTTAAGACATAAAAAAGACATAGGGTAACAGATGTAAAAAAATTATTTTTACCAAGAATTTCTAAAAAAAAATTTTTAAATTAATTTAATTCATTTGTGAATAAATTTTGAAAGTTTCATTAAAATTATTTAAATTATTTGATTTTGAAAATTATTTTAAAATTATTTAAAATTATTTGATTTTTGCAAGAATTTCCAAATCATTATTTTTCAATGCAAAAAATGCTCTAGTCATCTTCAATACTTCGCTAAAAAGAGCATACCTTGATGAAAAAAGGCCGCAAACTTGATTAAAGAATTTTTATCGTCTGAGAGTTTGTTAATTTTTAATATTTTTAAAATTTTTTATTCCCTTTTTGCACGTCCGAAATTTTAGTTAAACATCTTGGTTTTTTTCCTGAGTGATCAAAATTTACATAAAATCAATCATGTCAGCCATTTTGACAATTTTGTAAACAAAAGTCAAATTCTCCGTTTAAAAATCTTGTAAAATTTAATTATTTTAGAAAAATTAGAAAATTTAAATATACTTAATGTAATTTGAAACAGACATTACTTAATTTTTCTTTTTTTAGCAAAAAGGCCCCAAACTTAATAATATTTTTATCGTCTGAATGTCTATGTTATTATTAATAGAAAAGACCAAAATATTTTTTAATTGTTTTTACATGTTTTGATGCTTCCTAAAATTAGTATAACTAGCATCAAATTTTCGGAGGTGACTATACAGTTGATTTAGTTGTAATGGTTCTACTTCATTGACTACCTGTTATTACTTTGGGAGTGTCGCTTCATTAGTATTCTTCCTAAGGACAGGGAACATTCACTCAGGTTTTGTGCAGATTTTACCAGTACATAATAATGAGGGATTAGCACGTACGGATTCTGACACTACTTCTTGCCAATGTGACTCATGAAAATGTTTCGATATTAATGCCAACAGGATTGATTGCCGAATGACATCATTCAAATTTTTAACTTGGCCCGATCCTTTTGGGTTGTTTAGTTCTGCTTGTAACAATACCATAATTATGAAGAAATGCTGTTTCTTGAGAAAGAAACGAAGTCCCTTCAATTAATATAGGCTGACATAACAGCGATAGAAATCAAATTCGATAAAGACCTATTGACTATTTTTTAATCCTTATCTGGGCAAGAATAAGCAAAAGGGAGCTGAGAAAACTCATCCATGGCATCAAATATTTAAGTTACAAAAGGGTAAGGATCTTTGAAATCGGTCAAAATGCTGAGAAGCCTTGATTAGATGAAAGTTGGATGGTTTGTAAAAATTAGGTTTAACTATATTACGTGTTTGACAGCTCTCATCGTACGGATTTATTCAACAGAATACGACAGGATAACATTTGGAATGAATGGAAACATTTTGGCCATATCTGGGTGACAAAAAGATTTATATAGCGTAAATAGGTTGTTACTCAGACGTGTGTCAGAAAATAGTTAGGGTATGGACATCTGCTTCGGTATTCTTCTAGCTCTCGAAGGAAGCCATATTAATTCCCCAACGCAAAATGTGTCCATTTTTTTTATTCCCTAGATTATCTGTATCAAACATGAAATACGCAGATCAGTTTTGTTAATAATGTACCTTCCAATAAAAATGCGTTTCTATTTCTCAACTGTATCAGCTACTGGTAGGACTTCTTTTTCTACAGGCGTCATAGTTTACTTCCCAGCTTCGTAGTAATCTGGAGCAAAAGGCAACTGACAGAATATCCTGACTGGCCCCAGTTGATACAGAATTATATGATGCACCTGTTTCAACAACAAATTACAAAATATCACTGATTGCAGTCAGGTCTGCATGCACTAGATTAGATTTCAATATGTTAAAAGATGCCACACCTTAACCTGATAGCAGAAAAGTTTGAATAGGTTTTAGTGGTTTAATTTTGTCAGAATATGTATCGTTAATACTGCATTATTCCTGGGTATGAAGATAAACTACATCCGACAGCAAGGGAGATTGGAGGTTTTGAGAAGCATGGAACCACCTCTTAATTGCTGTTCTTTCACGGTCCATTCTGACACGGGGTGGTAGTTCTTTCTATGGTCCCCAACTATGGAAAAATAATAAACCTCCCAAACACACAAAAAAAACAGTATTAAAGAATAAAATACATTTTAATAGTAAAAAAAACAACAATAAAACTTTTATATAAAAAAATTCTCAATAATATATATTTATAGTAAAATTACCAACACTACATTGTTATAGTAAAATTACCAATAATATTTATTAGTAGTAAAATCAGTAACAATATATTTTAACTGTAGTTGTAGGTATGAGTTTAAAGTGTATTTACTTGAAGCAGAAGAAAATATATCAAATTTTAATTTTTCAAAGCACCTGAAAAAATTGAAATTTGGCATTAAATGACCCATACAGCTGTTGATATGTCTTAAACAAATCAAATCCGTCTTGCATAGTACGCATAAAGGAATATATAGATAAATAATTATAGATAGATAGATAGATAGATAGGAAGCGAATTAAGGTATAGACAGATGTGGACAGATTAAGATAGATAGATATAAACTGACGAAGATATATAAATAGATAGATTTGAAGAGAATGAGATAGATAGATAGATAGATAGATAGATATAAAGCGAATTAAGGTATAGACAGATGTGGACAGATTAAGGTAGATAGATATAAACTGACGAAGATATATAAATAGATAGATTTGAAGAGAATGAGATAGATAGATAGATAGATAGATAGATATAAAGCGAATTAAGGTATAGACAGATGTGGACAGATTAAGATAGATAGATATAAACTGACGAAGATATATAAATAGATAGATTTGAAGAGAATGAGATAGATAGATAGATAGATATAAAGCGAATTAAGGTATAGACAGATGTGGACAGATTAAGGTAGATAGATATAAACTGACGAAGATATAAATAGATAGATTTGAAGAGAATGAGATAGATAGATAGATAGATAGATAGATATAAAGCGAATTAAGGTATAGACAGATGTGGACAGATTAAGGTAGATAGATATAAACTGACGAAGATATATAAATAGATAGATTTGAAGAGAATGAGATAGATAGATAGATAGATAGATAGATAGATAGATAGATAGATATAAAGCGAATTAAGGTATAGACAGATGTGGACAGATTAAGGTAGATAGATATAAACTGACGAAGATATATAAATAGATAGATTTGAAGAGAATGAGATAGATAGATAGATAGATAGATAGATAGATAGATAGATATAAAGCGAATTAAGGTATGTTGCAGGCCCGGTAGGGTGCAGTGCTGGTTTATTACTAAGTGGCCTTGTGCCAGACACCACACTAAACTACCGAGTCTACAAGCAAAGTAAAAAGATCAAATGTGCGTAAATGAACAACGAAGAAATGTGCTTAATCCACACGTGCATAATTAAAATATATTAACAAGATAGCCTCCTCGGAATGACTGAAAAAGACTGGGTTTCAACAAGAGTAATTTTTATTAAATGCAGGAAAATAAGTAATTTGTCCTGGTAGGGACCAATGAAAAAGTTCCGCGCCAAAATAGAAAACAAGATGGCTAAAGGCGGGAAATTTCTTGAAGAAGAAAGGTTCCAGTAAGTCAATGTACATGGTAATATTCATACAAGGAAAAATACTCACTGCGAGTTTTTAGGTAATGAGAGTGAATGTTATGTACATATATTTTTTTTTTTTGTACTGGTTCAAAACAGATTTCTGACGAGACCCAAAGTGGACGACGGATTGTCATTTTGTATGTTCTGCATCGTCTCGGAGTAGGACTTTGAATGACTAGTCTCAAAGGGCCGAGGAATTAATATTTTGGATGTTTTGCATCATCTCGGAGGAGGTCTTTGAATGACGAGCCAAAAAGGGACGAGGAATTAATTATCTGGTGTTCTCATAGTCTTGTAGAAGAAATTCCGAATGACGAGCCAAAAGTGACGAGGAAAAAATTATCTGGTATTGCATCGTCTCGGAAAAGGGTTCTTGAATCACCAGCCAAAAGGAACGAAGAATTAATTATTTGGTATTTGCATCGTCTCGGAAAAATGATTATGAATGACGAGCCAAAAGGGACGAGGAATTAATTATTTGTGGTCGCATAGTATTATTTCCTTCGCCAGTCAACCTGAAATATTGACATGGATAAAAATGAGTCTGCCCAGGTCAGAGTCTGGAACACCACTGAACTTTTCTGAAACAACAGTTTGTCGTTGACGTCACAAATTTTTCGCGGGAAGATTTCAAAAATCTAATTTGCATAACAGGTCGCTTGGTTGGTGACCAAAAACAGTTACTACTGTATTAGACCGAACGAGGGAGAAAGGGGTGTCAAACGCGCGCGCGCGCCCGCGAGTGTGAAAGAAAGGGAGGAAACTCGCGCGCGCGTAAAATGTCGTAGATGGAATAATACATTATTCCACAGGTATAGACAGATGTGGACAGATTAAGGTAGATATAAACTGACGAAGATATATAAATAGATAGATTTGAAGAGAATGAGATAGATAGATAGATAGATAGATAGATAGATAGATAGATAGATAGATAGATAGATATAAAGCGAATTAAGGTATAGACAGATGTGGACAGATTAAGATAGATATAAACTGACGAAGATATATAAATAGATAGATTTGAGAGAATGAGATAGATAGATAGATAGATAGATAGATAGATAGATAGATAGATAGATAGATAGATAGATTGACTTATAAAACAGACGCTATCAAAAAAAGAATAATTATATGATGATCCTTAAATCTGATTTGGATTTCGTACTGAAACATTATTACCACTCAGTACAGGGAACTCCAGAAATAACACACGATATCAATAATTTATTATTGTTTTTCTATCGTAGTATTCTAATGCCAAACTAATGGACACGCAACTCTTACAGGTACTCGTCGATGTTGTATCAATATGGTTCTTTTGTGTTTCAGGCGTGTGGGAAAACATACCATAAGCTGCATGAAAATATTAATTAATATCAGAGTTAAATATTGAAAGAATTCTCTGAAATATTTGCATTTCCTAAACCTATCCGATCCCTTGTATGAAACTTAGATTAATAATTATTTCATAACGCTTCTTTTCTTTTGCAGGTAAGTCGTTTCTGCTTCCCTTCAGCAAGATCCAAGTCTGGTTACGTGTTTACCAAATGCCAGCGATGAGACATAATTCAGCGTTGAAAGGTCCCGACAAAGTTGGTCAGATTATTGCTTTCCACAAACCATTTGTCAAATAGATTTACCACACAATTGCATTCTATTTTTTTTTTCATCATCTGCTCTCTCTATCCCAAATACACTAGTACAATATATATATCATAATGAGCCAGAATCTACCTACCAATCTATTTGATCGGTGTTTTTTCTTCTCTTTTGACTAGGCATTGCGGTGGTGTTTGATTATTTTCGTCCAACACGGATGTCTTTAGACTTTTCTTTTTTTTTAATGATTTCTTTTCCCTGATATAGGTTTGTTCAAATATATTTTAATTATAAATTGTATTAGCCGGGTTTTATTCACACCTCCCAAGTATAGTTATTAAAATAATACACAACACACACACACACACACACACACACACATATATATATATATATATATATATATATATATATATATATATATATATATATATATATATATATATATATATATATATATTCAAAAATAATTTCGTTTTCTCACATAGTAACATATGTTAGAAAACGAAATTATTTTTGCACCAAACTAATATCTATATATACATACGCGAATGTAGTGAGAATGAAAGTAATACATAAATTCTAAGTCAATTAAATTCACTGAAACGAAGTTGCATCTTTGTAGTGAGCAAATTGTTTTTGTCTATATGAAAAAAATTATAATGGTCATATAATTAAGTAATTCATCGAGACTAGAAGAAACCTCAACAGAATGCATTGGACGGCCGTTTCGTCCTATATTTTGGACTCATCAGCGGCGAGCATCCACTACGGAGAATTGAAACCAGTTACGTTATCAGGGAAACGTCATATCAAATGTTCCAACGGGCCTCGCTGACGAAGAGGTAACAATTCAGACTCACATATAGCACGGCTCGATGAGTTCCACCACGGAATATGTGATTGATCGGCGCTATATCGAGTCTAATTCGTTACCTCTTCGCCACCGAGGCCGGTTGGTACAGTTGGTATGACGTTTGTCTGATAACGTAGTTGTTCGGGTTTCAATTCCTGGTAGTGGATGCGCGCTGCTGATGTGTCCAAAATATAGAACGAAACGGCCGTCCAATGCATTCTGTTGAGGTTTCTTCTAGATTCGATAAATTACTTAATTATAATTATCTCTAATCCTCCTAATTTCAAGTATGTATATAAAAATGTAAAATCACTACAAAAATGGCCATTTTATTTGAACACTTCTGGTGTCTTCTTAAGTGATAGTGTTGAATGTTTATATATATATATATATTACCAAAACAACTTTGCGGTTATTTCACACCAAAATAGGACCAAAAGTCTTCGGAATAAACAGGGAAATGGGAATTACTCACCGACAGATCTTTCTGTGCATGGGGTATTTTACAGGGGAAATCGTATTGTTAGCAAAACTCCAATCTCTGTCTGACTCCTCGATTTAGGAAAATAAACTTAAATTTAAAATTTTGATCGATGTACATACATACATACATACATACATACATACATACATATATATATATATATATATATATATATATATATATATATATATATATGAAAGAAAAATACAGAAAAAATAAACAAAAATCTGAATATGCAATTATGTAGTATTAATGTTAATATAAAGTCGACGTCGGACGTTTCGGTCTATTTAAGACCATCTTCATGGACATTTTCATTTAAACATAATTAACATTAGAACTTATAAAAATTAAGACGTGACGACTACGTGATCATATTTAAACGGAACGCTGATCTGTATAAAATTTCAGTTATCTGTTTGGATTAGTTGGGCTCTTATGTCCATCGTCTTTTGTGTTAAATTTTTTTTATATATATATATACACACACTTTTTACAAACTACGGCTCTTAAGCCGCATGCGACCTTTTTGACCTTTTGAATGACACACAACTTTTTGTGGTTTGTTTCATTCTCACTTGTTCTAAGAGATTGAGAGAAGCCAATGTCAAATAGCTATTAAATACTACAGTTATCGCCCTTTCGTATTAATGCCTGTTGCGTTGTGAGTATATATATATATATATATATATATATATATATATATATATATATATATATATAGCTGGCCAGTCGTATTCGAGGATACTCGTCTACTAGGGCGGTTACCCATCCCTATTGCAGACGCTTGCTCAGGCACATTTGTCTTTATTCAACACCCACAGAGCCCAACTGTGGTTTATACTGCAACTATGTTGAGTAGGCCTTAGTTACATTTTCTCGCGTGATCAACAATTTGAACAAGGTCAGCACGCTGAAACCCTCGGCCACGATGACTTATGACTTCGTGCTAACCAATGGTTCCGTTTACTCAATTTCACTCACAAGGCCCGTAGTGTGGTTTTCAGGCACTTTCATTTTTTCTGGGCACCTCCAGTCCGATAACATCAGGGAGTCTTCTTTCTGACAAAGAGAGACCATGGTTAAATTCGAACCATGGTGACCATGAGACCCGGGTTAGAATCTCACCATGGTCGATTTGTTCTAACCACTCGGCCACCGCCACCTTGTGTGTACAGTCACATACGTAACAATGTTTAAATATGATGTTTCTGAATGGTTTAACCTTTCGTTGAAGGTAACGTTAACAGCATTTATAACTATTGGCGGGTTTCATTAAGGAAGATCATACGTGTAAAAAAAAAATTTTCTTTAGAAACGAAAAAACATTCATATTAATTTTTCCTCTGGTAAGAAATATATTTATTCTTTCAAAAAGATATTTTTCTTGTATTTTCAAATTAATAAATTCGAAACAAATCAACAATATGTGTTAATCATATTACCATCAGGGAGAGTATTATAGTAAATTTCAAGTTGTTGATTTGTAGAAAAAATATTTTCTCTGAATAAAAAAAAATCAGCTTTTTCTATCATTTCAAGGCAGATGCTTACCTGTAGTGAAAAATGGCCACTTTATTTAAACGAGAAAATTACTTTGAATTTTTTTTATATAGGTGCGATCCCCCTTATGTTGAGTAATTTCTCATATGGGCCACAAATCGGTAAAAGTTGCCCATACAATAATCCGGATTCATAAAATAGTACCTGCTTTGGCTTAATTAATTCCGGTTCAACTAGTTTACTGAAACTTTTTACCCCATTAGTATATGACGCTTAATCTGTATAGAGAGGATTACCTAAAATTTAAAATAGCTCAGCACGCAGATTGTCATTAACAAGCAAAATAGAATAGGTAAAAAAAGTTTAATTTTAAGGAAACTTCATACAGTCCTGGGCTAATTTCGGCATGTTGATTATTATTATTATTATCATTTGTTCATATTATGTTTCCTGCTTTGTCTCCTGTACAGCGGAGTCCAAACTATGGTCTTGAGGCCCTATAGGAGAATTGTCATTTAATTAATAGCACTTTTCTTAGTATATGGGATGTTCCTAGTAGGGCGATCTTCTGGGCAACTTGTATGTTGATCTTACCTGGGACACTGTTAATAAAATTGTCCATTCCTTTTCCCGCGATCTCCAGAGCTCCAACTACTATTTGTATAGTTTAAGTCTTCATTCCCTACATCCTGTTCATCTTGATCTCCAGCTCCTTGTATTTGGACAATTTCTCGATAATTTTTATGGAAGTTTTTCTCTCGGATGCTAATGCTATGTCAAGAAGCACATATTTCCTGAATTTCTCATCTTTTATTTTATTATTTAATTTTATTATTATTATTGTTGTTGTTGTTGTTGTTTGTGATGTTGTTTGTGTTTCCCGCTTTGTATCCTGTAGAGCCGTGTCCAAAGTATGGTCCTTAGGCCCTATAGGAGAATTGTCATTTAAATGATAGCACTTTTCTTAGTATAATGGGATGTTCCTAGTAGAGCGATCTTCTGGACAATTTGTAAGTTGATGTTAGCAAGGCCACTGTTAGTAAAAATGTTCATTGCTTTTATCACTAGGCTCAGAGCTCCGATTATTATTATTATTATTGTTGTTGTTGTTGTTACTGTTGTTGTTGTTGTTATTATTATTATTATTATTTGCGTATGTTATGTTTCCTGCTTCGTATCCTGTAGAGCCGGGTCCAAACTATGGTCATTGGACCCTGTAGGAGAACTGTCATTTAACTGATAGCACTTTATTTAGCACATGGGATGTTCCTAGTAGGGCAACTTGCATGTTACCTCCGATACTTTTAGTAAAATTGTTCATTCTTTTTCTCACCAAGTACAAAGCTCCGATGATTCTTCTTCTTCTTCTTCTTATTATTATTATTATTATTATTATTATTATTATTATTTTCTTTGATTTCTGGTGTTTACACATTTCTTTCCGGGTCCCGCCCCGGGACCTAAGGTTAGAAATAACATCATGACATTTTCCACTGACCAATTAAAAAAAAAAAAAATTACATAGATAAAGACATTCGTAGGGTGTTGGTTGTACTCGTGAGAACATTTTTTTTTGTATTTCTTTAAGGCATAGACTTCCATGAATCCCTTCAATTAGTCTACTGTAATCTTTCCCAATCAATCCGAGGGCTCCAACTACAACAGGGATAGCTGATGTTCTCAAGTGCCACACTTTTGAAATTTCGATTTCAAGGTCCCTGTATTTTAATAGGTTTTTGTTAAATTTTATGTGACGACACAATGCACACAGGCAAAACAATGAAAGCCAATCGCCCAGAAATCATTATTAGAGAACGCAAACAAAAAAAAGTGCCTCCTTATTGATATGGCAGTCCCTTACAACTGCAATGTATCTTTGAAGATCTTCAAAAATCTATCAAAGTACAAGGACATTGAAATCGAAATCTCAAAAATGTAGCACATGAGAATATCAAAAATCGCTGTTGTAGTTGGCGCCCTTGGATTCATTGAAAAAGATTCCAACAGATTTACTGAAGGGGTTCCTGGAAGCCCATGCCTTCAAGAATGAAAAATATTGTAATCACGAGTACATCCCACACCTTACGAAGGGCTTTATTTATGTAAAATATGTGTGCTGATTT